TATACAATTGTAATCTTCTTAATTATTGTACAAAGATCTATAGCGATATAAGAAATAGTTTAAAAAGTCTTTTGCTTGTTATGTAAGAAAAATAATAAAGAGGATGAAAGAGCAACGGAATCCTTGAAATACATCAGCTCATTCCATTCATCCATTTCTGATGCGGAAACAGCGATATTGTTATTACAATCTGAAAATAAGTTTGCTTTATTGGCAGATTTTTAATAAAGTAGTGCAGTAAAATTCCCCGCAAATACTCTTTTGTTGGCACGAAACTCGACATGTTTAACACTATGAAACAAAAAGTTGTTTACCCTTCGGCGAGATGACATACACTGAACTTCAAGTTTGCTTATCATAGTTCCTTATCGATGTGTTCCCATCTTCAACTACACGCACGCAGTTCTGTTAGCGAAATCTGTTGGAAAACAGCGAGAACTTATTCAAGGTCCTAATATTTATAAAGATTTCTGAAAAAATATCTTAAACTTCTTTAAATTTTATAAAGTTTTTTTCGGAAATTTATAGAAAGAGAAATTTTAGAATATTTGAGAATTTACATTTACAGGGTAAGCACTACCTATAACCTGAAAAACTTGCAGATCTGTAAATTATACGTTGTATGACTTTAAGGAATTTGTTATACATAATACTTTAACATTTCTAAGATTTCTCATTCCATAATTTCCGATGAAAACATAAATCTGAATAGATATTGTATATTGTTTCAAAAATCTTTATAAAAATACAAAAATTCTTAGAAATGTTATAAGATACAATGAGAATTTTTTTCAAAGTGATTTTGCTATAATATAATACATAAAAATTTGGCAAAAATATAGAATACTTAAAATTACATTTGATCATCAAGATAAATTATATAAACTACTCAAGCATGATGATGATGCCGTAAAAAGTTGTAACATTATAGTAATCAGTTTATGCTTTCAATATAATTACTTAGGTAGTTCAATAAAGTTATTTTTAAAACTGTATTTATAACTAAATTTTTAGATACTTCAGCAGAATCGTTCTTTCTGTGCAATTAAATTAGCTGAAGTCGTTTTATTACCATTTGTGACGCTTCCATAACTATTTTGTTTAGATCTCCTGTGTTGGATGATATTTTCCGAATTAAATTTTGTCCTTTAGAGCCCATTTATGTGGTAAATTATTTGCAATTACCAACGTCGGACACTTTACACTTTACAGAACGAGATAACTTTCGAAAGTAATAAGATTTTATATTTTATATAAACAATGAGAAGTATTAATAAAAGAGATTATTTCAAAAAATTGTGTTTGTTTGCAGGAGACATAAATGCGTGGCTCTCGAATCGAAGTTTGGTCGTTTGCAATGCGATCCTTATTTTTCTGAATATGTGGAACTCTTTAAACGTATGTTCTTAGCAAAGGAACCAAAAGATGTGTTAGTAGAGCCTCTAAAAATGTTATTTAAAATAATTCATCCCATTTATATATATAAACAAATTTTTATATGAAATAACTTACAATACACAGCCCAACGACAGAAAGAGATAGAGATAAAAATATCCAATATGTTCTCTAAAGTGCAAATATGTATTCGTGGCGCGTCAAATGTCTGGTGTCGATTCAGCGGGGAAGTAGATCCATCGACCAGCGACTTGAAATTCATTTGAAGCAAATTAAAGAATATTTATAAACGAGCATGATTCTGCTTGGGCAACTTCATGTTGATTTTTACCTCGATCGGGCTATGCTTTTCAAGGCGATAGCTAATAGAATATGACTTCCAGTAACATTCGTACGTGGAGAATACGGTGTCTCGTGGATTCAAATACCCATATCTCAAGTAATATACGTATTACTTGCGTTAAAGTGGTATTTTTTAAATATATTACGTTATTTGTGACTCAATGTGTATCTTGCAGATGAAAACTCAAATGAAGGAAAATTATTTGATGCTTGTTTGTATGAAAATAGCGAAGATTATGAAAAAAGGATTACAACCGAATTATTAGACAAGACAAATGCCTTTACATATCAGAACAGACACGAGAGAGAAAAAATTTCCCTTTCTCGAGATTATCAATCGACGATTTACCCAACCAAGCGTATAAAACCGAATTTTATCGTTGATTTGATGGATACACCGGGAGATTTTATTCCAATAGGAAGTCCTTGTTCAAAATTATATGGTACTATTAAAACAGTAACTTATAGCATATTGCTATTGGAAACTGATTTATTATTATAAGGATTATAATATGGCAACAATTTTTTAATAAGATAATATTTTGATTTTAATAAATCTTATAATATTTTTTTAGAAAAAAATCACAAAAAGTTATTACAAAATTCTTGTCTTATATACATATAATTGTATATAAAACACATATGTTAATTTTTTATAACTATAGATAATTTTATACAATTTTATATTTACATTTTTAATATTTTATACTTATATATAATTATATAAGAAATATTTTTTCTCGGATTATATATGCGTATAACTTCAATATAAAATATTTTACTAAAGTTACCTTCAACACAAATCGACACGTGTCGTTAAAAGCCATGTGAATAAAAAGCATCCATTAAACGCATTTGTACCTAGTATAAAGACATACTGGCTACGTTTGCACCGTGCATTCAGGCCGCGGTCTATACAATAGATGTCCTTGTTTCCTGTAGGTTAAACAAAGTAGGTAAAACATCTGTTGTATAGGTCGCGGACTAAGCACACGGTGTAAACATAGCCAATGTTGCAAGTATAGTTACGTATGTAATTATTTATTTTTCATATTACTTTAATAAATATTCCGCAATAATAAATGCAATCTAATCTAGATTATCTGTATGCACATTCTTTCGCTCAATACTCAACTGCTAGTTGAACGGCATATATATACATACGTTATACGACATTATATATTTAAATAATTATAGCGTTATATATTTAAGTAATTATAGCATTTACTTATTAAATAATGCATATCATAATATTTTTTAGCATTTGCTTATCTTTTTCAATTATTTTTTATTTATTAGCAATAGCTCTGCATATTTTATTAACGTCGTTAAATAATAAAACGTGAGACATAAAGTAGGATATACACAGTCTGTCTCAAAGTAAACAGGACTTTTTCAAAATAAGAACAACAAATGGTATTTTCGGCAAAATTGTTTTATTTTATTCAAAATAGTCTCCTTCCGCTTCGATACACTGATTTGCACGACTTAACAACTTTTCGAATGACGATTTTAAGTCGTTGGCCGGTATGGCTCGGAGGATGTCGGTACACGCCTCTTGAATGGCCGGAATGTCAGCATAGCGCATGCCTTTCATCGGCAAATGAAGTTTTCCGAATAGATAAAAGTCACAGGGTGCCAGATCAGGCGAATACGGGGAATGGTTGACCAATAAAATGCGATTTTTGCTCAAAAAATCGGTGATGAGCGTCGATCGATGAGATGGTGCATTATCGTGCAACAAACGCCAACTCCCTTCCTCACGATATTCTGGCCGAATGTGACGAATACGATGCAACAACCGCCTCAAGACACCAAGATAATATGGCGCATTAACCTTTTGACCCGATGGAACGAACAATACCCTTTGAATCGTAAAAACAAGTGAGCATTGTTTTCACTTTTGACTTCTCAAAACGGGATTTTTTAGTTGCTGGCTCGTTTTGTGGCCTCCATTCAGCACTTTGACGCTTTGTTTCCGGATCGTATTGGAAACACCACGTTTCGTCACCAGTAACAATATTGTAAAGGAAGTTTTTGTCCTTTTTCGACTCTTTAACGATGTCCTTACAATGTTGGATTCTGAGCGATTTTTGGTCGTCAGTGAGTTTGTGCGGTACAAAGTGAGAACAAACCTTCCGATAGCCCAATTTTTCGGTCAAAATGCGATGAATCGAATCTTTGGACATTCCCAATTCGATTTCCATAAAACGCAACGACGATTTCGGATGAATGTTGAGAAAATCACGCACTTTTTCGATGCTCTCTGGCGTAATCACGAATTTGGCCTGGCCAACATGAGGGTCGTCATTGATGTCTTCACGACCGTTTTTAAAACGCGTATACCACTCATGAACTCTTCCACGGGATAGGCAATCATCACCATAAACTTGTTGCATCAATTGAAACGTTTCGGTAAACGTTTTACCAAGTTTAAAACAAAACTTAATGTTGGCTCTTTGTTCAATGCTCATTTTTGTACCGACAACGCAAACCTACTGTCACTTTAGGCGCAATAACTTTGCTTCCAGTGAACCAAATGTCATGAAATTTTCACTGGAAGTCTGGAACAAATGTACCTTTCCAACGCCTATAGCCGCATTAAGATGGTGCCGCCAGAAATGTCCCAATTGAAAAAGTCCTGTTTACTTTGAGACAGACTGTGTATAACTACAAAAATTAATTCAAAGCGTAATATCATAAGAATTGCCTTATGTCTGTTACAGGAGATAGTAAAGAGCATTAGATTTCATGAAAAAAGTCAATATTATGCTCAATTGAAATTAAATCCAAAAAGGATAAAGCATTTGACTTATCCGTAATTACTACATGGAGTCTAATTGTGGACAATTGTCATTACATCATTTAATTAAAATTAAAACATATGAAACGGTATCGAATTGAAATAAAATCATCCATAATGTAATATTTATGATCAATCATAGCTATTAAATATTTCATTAAATGTTTGATATCGTTCTAGATAAAAATATAAATTTTTTTTTAAGGTGATCCATAACTAGTGGCCTTAATCTACGTATCTATAAATAAAATTCCGTGAAAAGAAACGCAATCTAATCTAGATTATCTGTGTGTCTATTCTGTTGTTCAATACTTGTTGCACTTGTGGCACTTACTTACGTTATATCTCCCAGTGTACTTGTGGCACTTACTTACGTTATATCTCCCAGTGTACGTATCTTACAGTGTAGTTCTCACAAAGTTCTTAGAGAAACTGTGGAATCTATTTCTGAAAATCTTATATAAAGTATTAAAACGTGTTTGTACTTCGAGCAGCAAACACTAATTCAGTTAAAATGCTAGCCGACTCGGAAACTATGACGCTAGAAAAAGCGCTGGCACCATTAATGACCTTTGGCGCGTTCTGCAATTTGGCCATGTTCGAATATCCTCTTGGACAATCTAGGACGTATATCACTTGCCTGTACGGTTTGATCAAATGGAGCCTTCTTATGTACTTTTTTTACTGTTACATCCTTAGTATTCAAACGAAAACTATATTCATCTTACATATCATATCGTTGATCACCATTATATTAATTCCCATCAACATCTGCCGTTATAAGGTAAAAATTTAAAATGTACTCCCGATTACTATATATATAGTATATAATAATACTTGATCTTTTAATGTTACTTGTCTTTCGTTTAGTAGTATTTTTAATTGATGGCATTAAAGGAGTCTTAAATTCACAATTATAGGCAAATACAAATTTATGAAAAGTTTTTATAAAAGGCTTTCGTTACCTTCACCTATGACCTACTTTTAGTCAAACTCAAGCTATGCAGTCTATCCCATTCGGCGCTCTCGCTAATCTACTCGTTCCATACAATTCGCACCCAGCAAGCCGTCATGTATGATCCTTTTCCTCTTTTCTCCTCTCCTCGTGAAATTTTCTCTGGAGTACCCCAGGGTTCCATACTCGGACTTTTACTTTTAATATTTTTGTCTCTGATTTGTCTAATGTTTCTCTGTCCTCCGATCTCTTCATTTATGCAGACGACATAATTCTTCTCAAATCCTTTCATCCATTCGATGCTTTAACAGACTGTTCCGCTTTAAATAAAAATCTAACATCTATTGCCGAATGAACAATTCAAGTAGTGAAATATACAAAATTATAAACTTCTTTAATTAATACCATAAAATATAACAGCGAAATTTAACTGGGTGTTAGGTGTCTCTGATCTGGATGCTATCTTGCGCAAAAATTAATTGTGAATAACAAATTAGATTTGTACGTTTCGGCTCATGTTTGAACCATCCTCAGCAATAACAATTACCGCTAATCGCGCTAAATAGCCTCCTAACGCGCAGTTGAATTTCGCTGTTATAATCTATTGCCGAATGGTCTCTACTAATAATTCGCTGCATCTAAATCCCTATAAATCATCCTTGCTTATTGTCGGTTCCTCAACATTATTATCTCGTATTCAATCTTTCCATATTTATCTTAACTCTGTTCCAATTCCTCGCTCCTCCTTTATTGAAATTCTTGGTGTCCATATTGAATCTTCGTTTTCGATTCACACGTGGCCGTCAAGTGTCAGGCTGCATATACCTGTCTACATCTTCTTTATCCCCTTCCCTTCACCACATCCTTTCCTGCTATCAAAAACTCTTCACTTCTCAATTATGTGTTATTTCGTTATTTGATTACGTCGATGTCGTCTACGTTCTGGCTCTTAATCAACAACTCTTGAATCGTGTACAGCTTATCCAAAATTCTTGCCTCAGCTTCTCTTATTGTGTCAGTAAATACGACCATATCTCCGTATTATCAGAGATCTGGCTGGCTTAAAACATTTTTTTCTTCACCTATGCTGTCTTGTTTTTTATCTCCTTCGCTCCAATACTCCCTTATATTTGCGACGCCTCCTTCAATTGAACTCTGAGCTTCATTTTCTTTTAACCCTCTTGTCACCAGGTACCAATATTACTTATCCTTCCCATTCATTGTTCTACTAAGTTCCGTGCTGCTGTCTCCTAAACCCCAGTCAAATGTTGTAATTCTCTTACTGTATCAATAAAAACCATTCCCTCTTTGTCCTGTTTTCCTTCTGCTGCCTCACGCTTTATCGCGTCACTCACAGTATTTAAACAAGACTGATGTAACTGGTAAATGTAGGTGCTTGCGCGCGTGTGTGTGTGTGTGTGTGTGCGTATGTATATGATTTTAACTATTGTTTCATCACTCAGAACATCGTTGCCTTAGTTGCGATTTTTTGTTGCTGGTAGGCTTTGTAACAGCAGTTTTGCTGACGTCTAACCATTTGCAAGTTACTATAGTCTATCTTATCATATTTTTTATTTATGTTTATTCTTTTATCGTGTAATCTTTTCCATAGCGCTTTGCAATAAACTAAATTAAATTTAAAAAAAGTTTCTTTTATCAGATCAATTTTAATACTTAATTTATTACAATGTAACTCTTTATCACATTCCGTATAAACATTGCAATAACAATTTTTACTCAAATATAAGATTACAATAATTTTGTTCGTGTCGCATAATCGATCAATATGATTTTTTTAAAGGAATTGAAAGTATGTTTACGTGAACTTGCTATAGTAGACCACACGTTGGAAGCTTTCGGAACGCCAAAGGAATATCAAAGGCTACATAATTGGATAATTCGAATAATTATCGGATTGATTGTATACGTTTGTTATTTTTTAACATATAATGCATTTTTGTATTCTTTTTTTTCCGACAAAATTATATCTTGGTTCGAGATCTTAACTATATTTCTGCTGTATTACCCGCACAATGCCGTTGCCTTAAGTGCTCTGATTTCTGCAACTATCCTTGGGTTAGTATTATAGATAAGTGGACATTTAATTTGTAAGTTATTTTTATTGATATTGTGCGTCAAAATGTTTACAGAGTGAAACACTTAATGACCTTCTGGTATATACAATATAAAAAAAGAGAGTCATCTCCGTCAATGACCATGACCTTGACAACATATGTATGTTGTCTGTATTGTCTGTACAAAACATATATATACAATACTTATTTTGAGTATTAAAAATATACTAAACAACAATTATTTATAAAATAAATAAATAACCACTACTTTTTATTATTAAATATTTGTAAGAGGTAAACATCTTTAAAAAACGCTGTGACGGAAATAATGTTGAGTAAAGTAATCGAATAAACGTATATGGTCAGAATTTTCCTCTCCGATGAACCTGACCTTAACATATGTCGTCATAAAAAAATGACGTTAAAATTGTAACATAAAAAATAAGAGTAAAGTCATCTTAAAAAAGTAATTACAAAACTAACGGTAAAAGTAACATTCATCCCTGGCTGTAAGGAAGAGCTGCGCCGCATGTCAACAAGTAGTTATATTACGATTAAATTGACGCTACGCAGTTTGAAAAAACAATTCGAATTTTTTCATTTTTTTTCTTTTTATTTGACATTCAAAAAAATAGAAAAAATTAACGTTTTCTATTAAATCTAGTTTGTGCGATAATGATATGTTCTGTTGTGCCGCTGTACGGCACGGTTCGGGATCCACGCAGGACTCGAGGAACGGTTTTAGTAGAAATAAACGTTTTCATGTAGCAGTTAGCACTTATATTAAATATCTTTATTTTCACCAAACACTACTTGTATTGATTTACAATCACAATTCACTTATCGTATTCGCGTCGCGATATATCTACTGTAATGATTCGGACGGCGCGACGCGACGCGTTATGCTTACTAACTTGACCGAGTCTCTGACCCCTGAGCGCGCGAACAGTCGCGCTTTTTATTCTATAATTT